TCCCCCCCGGAACCTTTCTTCCCCCGGAACGCTTCTGCTCCTGCCCGTCCCCCGCCCGGCCCGCGCGGGCCAGAGAGGAAAATGGCGGCGCCCATGAGTGAGGGGTTTCCCGCCTTGGAGCCTGGCGCTGCTCCCTACGGCAACTTCCCTAATTATTCCCGCTTCCACCCGCCCGAGGAGCGAGTCAGCCTCCTTCCTGGGGAGCTCTTGCAGAGCCTGTTCCCCGCGGCGCCCCGTCCGCTGCTGGGGCTCGATGTGGGGTGCAACTCGGGGGTAAGAGGGCGCCTGGGGGGCAGCGGGAGGGGTAGGCCGCGGGGCAGCAGGGTTGGGGGTTCCTGGGGTGAGGGGAAGCGCTGGGATGGTGGTCTGGGCTGTGGGGAAGACTGGAAAGACTTGTGGGGAGACACTGATCTGAGTACTGGGGCGCTGTGGGAAAGATTGAGGGGAAGTGCTGGTCTGGGGTTTTGGTAGGCTGTGAGAAAGACGGGTTCCCCAGCATGGGTCTGGGGGGCAGTGGGGCACACTGGGGAGGCACTTGTCTGGCCTTTTGGGGGACAATCCAGCATGCAGAAAAGACTGGGGATGAGGCACTGGACCAGGGTGGTGGGGCAGACTGAGACAGATTGGAAAGTTGGGGGAGCACTGGTGTGGAGTGTTGGGGGCATTGGGGCAGAGTGGGGAGGCTGGGGCAGGCAGCGACCCGGTGGGATGTTGGGGAAGAATGGGGCAGACTGGGAAAACTGGGTGGGGGCAGTGGCCTGGAGTCTTGGGGAGCAGCAGGGAAGGCTGGGGGGAGCACTGATCTGGGGGGCTGGGGAGGAATGAAACAGCCTGGAATATCTGGGGTGGGGGTAGCAGCCTGAGGCAGGGATGAGCCTGTGTAAAAGGCCCAGTGGGAAAGCAGGAGTTGGGTGCATCATGAGACTGGTGGGAGTCAGGAGATCACTGGTGTGTGGGAAGGCCCTTCTGCAGGTCTCCTGTGGGAGGAAGATGAAGGTTGGGGTGAAAGCAGGGGTGGGGTGGAGCTGGTTGTGTTGCTGCGAGTTGGTTTAGGAGGCTGTGTTGGTGGGTCTGTCCTCTTTCCCACTGAGGCCTAAGTCTGCAGTGCCCTGGGTTGCTGCATGTCCCGAGCACAGGAGAGCCACTATAGGACTGCCCTAAGAGCAGGGGAACTGGACGAGCCTGAAGCTAGAAACCATAATGTGTCGTGTATTGTGTAGTATCACATCATTTATCCATGAGGCAGAACTTGAAACTAAAATCCTGGTCATGTGCTCTTGAGGATCTTGTGACAGAGCTGGTGAATCTTGTAGAATTTCCCGTTTTGAAAGTTCATTCTCTTTCTTTACCTAGTTCTGCTTTTTTCTCATGGCTTTTCCTCAGCGTGCAGCTTTGCTGTGTTGTAATTCAGAAGTATCTGTGCATCTCTGATGCATACTGGTGCAATGTTTAATTTAACTATGTGTGAAGATTTGTTTTATTTTCCAGATGGAAACTATATCGATGCATTAACTTAGGAATAATTACTCATTCAGAATGAAATTGCATTCTGGCTGGGGACAAGAGTACTGCTGTTACCATGGCTTCTCTTCCCCCAGCCCCCTGCCAGGAGGTTTGAAAGGCTGCCTAAGGCATTCTCTGAAGGACAATTCTAGATCCTATTTCAGGTGAACTTGTAGAACAGGTCAGGTAAAAATGTTCTCAGTCCAGTTCTTTTGCGATGCAGAGACTTCCACCACTAGAGGACACTCTCTGCTTGCTTGTGTGGGTGATGCGCTCACTGCCCATGGCATTCAGGAACTTCATCGGATCTCCTTTAATGAAAGATTAATACTCTTCCCACTTAGTGGTACACTCTGTGAAAGGAAATTTGAAGGAAAGCTCTCGTGTTAACAATCTTATGCTGCAATCTAATAGTCAGGGAATGTCTCTTACTTTAGCAGCAGCAGAAGAAATTTATTACTCTAAATTAGGCATTATAAATAGCTCTAAGTGTCACTAGGGAACTCTGAGGCTCACTAGGGAAGCCAGTGAAGCCTTCATCCCCACGTTGGATGGGGATATCCAGCAAGATTCCTGTTACTAAAACTCATCTTCCCCATAGTTTTTGGAGCAAAACCCCGAGTGCGGGGTGATATGGGTTTAGTTCCAGTCTCTGGTTCACTTTCCAGTAGTCAGGGCTACTGTGATGCTTTGTGCTACAAAAAGGAAGATTGTTGGTGAGCTTATTGTTCTGAACTTCATTGAGAGAAAGCTCGTGAGTTGGCACTTGTACCTTGCTGCTGAGAGTGGGATCCAATGTGCTTGGTGAGGTGTTAACGAAGCAGCACAGGCCCCATGAACCCCCTGTTGTTTTCCTTTCTGCAGGAGCTAAGTGTGGCTCTGTACAGGCATCTCCTTGGGCTTCAGGAGAGCAAAGGCAGCCTGGACCAGCCTGCAGCTGGAAAGGATCTGAACCTTCTGTGCTGTGACATTGATCCGGTGTTGATTAAGAGAGCTCAGCAGTGCAGCCCCTTTCCTGCCTCCATATCCTTTGCCAACCTGGACATCATGGACTCTAGTGCCAGGGAACCATTCCTGAGCTCCTACCTGGGCCGTTTTGGCCGTTCCACCTTTGACATCGGTTTTTGCATGTCTGTGACCATGTGGATCCACTTGAATCATGGGGACAGTGGCCTGATGGAGTTCCTGTCCTTCCTCTCCTCTCTGTGCAAGTACCTGCTGATCGAACCTCAGCCATGGAAATGCTACAGGGCAGCTGCACGCCGCCTGCGGAAGCTGGGCAGGAATGACTTTGATCACTTCCGATCTCTTGCTATCAATGGGGATATGGCAGAAAGGATAACCCAGATCTTAACGAAGGATTGTGCCATGGAGCTGGTGTGTTGCTTTGGGAGCACCAGCTGGGACAGAAGTCTTTTGCTTTTTAAATCAAATGGCTCAAATCACGAGGGCAGGGAGTCTTCAGAACAAGAGCAGTGACTGACAAATGGCCTCTCACATTCATGAACTTATGGGCAAGGAGGTGCTTGCTGTTTACAGAGTCAGATCTAGGAATTCCTAAATCCCTACTGGGACCAGACCTTGACCTCCCTAGGGAGTTTGAGGCAAGTAATGTCTGTGTGGTTTTTTTTTCTTCCCATCTGCAAACTGCAGTGGCAGTTTTAACCTACCTTGTGGGTTCTGCGATTGCTGTTCCTAGAAAGTGTTCTTGAAATGAAAGTTGCTACGTATGTGCTTTCTACCTGTGTCAAGAATATTCCCTGGAAGAAGAGAATACATGCCTTTTTTTGTCCTTGGAGCTTTTCAAGGAGATGGGATATTGCTGTTGATCCGTGCGATGCACTGTTCTGCTTGTTGTCATGCTTTCTGTATAAAATGCTCTTGGAAAACATAGCCTGGTTTACCAGCTATGAACAAGTGAGTTGGATCGTGGCAGAGATCAACAGGTTGCCCAGAGAGGTGGTGGATGCCTCATCCCTGGAAACGTTCAAGGCCGGGTTGGATGGGGCTCTGAGCAACCTGATCTGGTTGAAGACGTCCCTGCTCCTTGCAGGGGGGTTGGACTGGATGAGCTTTAAAGGTCCCTTCCAACCCAAACCATTCTGTGATACTGGTCAGGCCGTGACCAATGCACCTTTGCAGATGGGGCTTGCCTGGAGTGTGCTTTGGAGGTTGACAGTGGTGTGATCTTTCTGTGGAGGGAGTGATTTCTATGGTAGGGCACATATTCGTTTACGTGTGGAATAGTGAGTGCTTTTTGTAATAATATCCTTGGAATAAAAATAACTTAATTTTATCGTCAATACTGCGTTGGGTTTTTTAATCTTTCTTTATGTTCACATTGTTTTTAACACCTGAGCAGTCCCAGGTAACTGAGTTTATAATTTCGTTGTATTTACAGGCTCAAGTGAGATTCGGTAAGCTTGAAGCTGTGTTTGGCTAAGGTTAAAGTATTACAACTTTCACTGGGTTGTTTGGTTTGTTGGTTTTTTTTCAGTAAAATCTAGGAAGAAAGAGAACTTGAGCAAAATGTCTTATTTTAACTTCATTTTTCTTGTTTTAATATCCTTACTAGCTTTAGTTCAAACATAGTGGTTTTGTTAGCTTTGATAGTAAGTAGGAGTCACACTTCTACAGTATTGTCTAAACAGATTAAAAACCTCACTTGAACAGACTGTGACACACAGGAACAGATAACTGACGGCTCTTACAAATTTCTAGGTTCCGCTGCTTCCTTACTGCAAAGTGAGAGGGGAGCCCAGGTATGTGCCGTAAGCGTTGCGACACAAAAGCTTGGCACTAGAGGAAGAGGAGGACGTCTCCTCCAGGAGGTGCTCTTGTCCAACAGTTCTTGTGCCCAGGTGAGCCTGCATGCAGGAGCAGAGAGAAATTTTACTTTATGTCCTTACTGGGACTTCCTTGTTATTTACTCATGCAGTGACAGTGGAGGAGGGAAAAAACAAAATGAAGAAAGCATTGACTTCCCTCCTCGGTGAGCTCAGATGAAAGAGTGAAGTGTGAGAGTGTTCTGGCTGGCCGGCTACAGCCTTCTGGATGCAAAGCTGCTGGGATCCATGGGTAACTCGTGAAAAAAAGTGTGTGTGTACGTACATGTGTTTAAAGGGGCTGAGTAAGGTCACAGAAAGGCTTTGAGGCTCTTCACATAAATGCAACTTCCACAGTGTTCTGCTACGTAGAAAATATTTAGGACTCGCAGCAGGAGTCCTGAGAGCAGCTCTGCCTTCTCAGCTGCAAGCAGATGTGCCTTCCCTGGTGGTGGGCTTGTTAATTTTCTTAAAGATGACTTTTGGGTCTGGGCTGGTTTTACTATCCCTGTGGGAGCAGAGGGAGAACCAATTTGTCATGTATTTTCTTGAGGGTTCACCCAAGTGCCTGATCTCTCTCGCAGCTTATTAATATATAACATTAATCACTTTGGTAATTAAGCATCTCATCTGACATTCGTTGTAATCTATGGGTAAGCTCCACTGACTCGAGGGGTGTTACCCAGCGCTAGCAGGCAGCTCAGCCTCCCCTTTCATTCTGCTAGGTTGCTGTTTCCTTTGTTGGCAGCTGGTGGCACTGAAGTATCGTGCAACCTACAGCCTTGCCCCTTGGGATGTTTCTGTTGGGTTGTGGCAGTATTAGTTGCTGTTTTCTTTGAGCTTTGAAATATTTATAAAATAGACCATGGCTTATCTGTTCAGTGCTCAAGTTTAAAGAGGTGAACAGGGTTTCTTGCCTTTCATTTTCCTCTGGGGATTTACACACTTGCCTGTGAAAAATTTTATGAAGAGTTGATAGGAAGGTGGACAACCCAAAGAGTTACACACAGGAGATGTCCCCTGCACCCATCTAGAATGACCTCCCCCTTCAAAGAGATCCTGTTTTATGTTCCTATGCACTGAGGGATAGCTCAGTATCTGCCTGGGGGATCTTTTTGGGCTGCAGCTTCTTGAAAGATTGTGGGTTGTTTGGTTTTGTTTTTCTTTTTTTTTCGTCTTCTTTCCAGCCTTTATGTGCTGGCCGTGTACAGACCTGCAAACCAGCCCAGTATGTATATAACAGTATGATGACTTCTTACCTGTTTCTCAAGTCTGTACTATTGAATTGCTAATATCAATAATGTCCCACTGTCTCAGAAATGGCTGAGCTCCAAAACTAGCTCTGTTTAGCTTTGGCACAGCAGTGTGTTTTGTTTCTCTTCCTTTGGATATTGCCACAAATACAGCTCAAAATAACGTCAACACAAATCTCTCTGTAGTTCTTGGGATACTAAGGAGCTCAAAATGGAGTCAATCCTTTAGCAGATAGGAGGAAAAAAAAAAAAACCTTTTTTTTTTTTTTTTTCCTTTCAGCTTGCTGCTTGTGCTCTCCAGGAAGCTGTCGGGAGCTGAGACAGGTGGGAACCCAGCTCCATGACAGAGCGGTAGAAGAAAGCCTATGGATCTCAACTGCAGTGCTTGTGTAAGGCTCTGGAGAAGTTTTTTATTTTTTATATAGACTCTCTGCATTTTGCAATGTGGCTAAAATGTATTCCCAGGTCTCCTGAAGGCAGGGCAGAAGGAAAGTAAAGATGAGGGTTAAAACCAACACTTCTGCTTTCTATCGCTGAGAGCACTTTGTTGGTGGGTAATTGCTTATCGTACAGCTGGTGAAATGGAGATGCCCCTTGCCTATGTGAGTCCTGGGGGTGGTTACCCTTGTAGAGCTCGGGATGCCTGGGTTAAGGGAAGGCGCAGAGGCCTCTGTGCTGAAGGTACTGCTTGCTCATCTCCTCCATGATGCAAGGACGGGGCCAACCTGGTGGTGGTCACTATTGCTAAAATGAGGGAGACGCAACTTCCCTGCGTATGTAGAGGGAGCACAGCCCTCCCTCTAAGCTGGGAGCATATGGCATCGGGCTGTGCTAATGTGTAGGTCCTGTAGCTGTCCTGGCTCGCTCATTGTGTGTCACGTTATTTGTGCATGTGTGTGCCTGTGCTTTGGAGGGTTGGTTAAGAGATCCTGCTTCTTTCCTACCCTTAAAGCTCCAACCCTAGGGTTGCCTGCCTTACAGGAGCCTGCCAAATTCAACACCCGCACAGAGCATGTATAGCTGAGCATTTCCAAACAGACCCAAAATATTACCGGGCACTGTGACGGGACTGTCAAACTGCTGCCCTGTTCCATCCTGGCAGCAAGCGAGGAGTTCCCATGCTGTGTGGTTTGTGATTGTTGCTGGGCTCCATCAGACCTTGCCTCAGTTTTTCCATCCATGAAATGAGCTTGATAACCACCCACCACTGGAGATTTCTGATGTGGAATGTTGGTTGTATGTTTGCACAGCACTTTTGAGAATGAAAAATAGTGATGAGCTGAGCTGTATCATCAACTATGAGCTATGCCATTGTTCATAATAATCACTGCAGCCACTTCAGATATTAATTAGGTACCATACCTTCAAAGTGTTCTGACTAATTAAGTCTCATGCCACTGCTGTGTAGCAAGTCGTAGCTAATTATCCCCCTTCCTTGGATGGAAAAATCTAGGCAGAAGAGGTGATGCACCTAGTTGTCCATAAGCTAGCATCAAAGTTGGGGCTGAGAACTTGGAGGGTTCCAGTTTCCGGATGGTTATGCAGTTGCTTCCAGCCTTTGTGGGAAGTAAGGTTTAGATGGAGTCAATGAGAGGTCCTTTTTTATTATTTTTTTTATTTTTCTTAACTTTAACTCTTGCTCATGCTAAGAGACAGTTCGCTGCTTCCTAGGTTCTTGTGCTGGATGAGTACAAGAGATGCACTCAGTGAGGAAAAGTGGAGTGCGTAAATATGGTGCAACAGGAGCAATTTTAATGCTGACAGCTGCCGGAGCAAATGACTGTTGTAAGCACCTATCTCCCTGCTGTCTGCTTCCCTTCTTACGCGCATATGTACTGACAGCCTTGCAGACGCTGTTCATCAGCATTTCTAAACGGTGACATGGTTTGAAAATGGTTTAGTTCAACTTTTTCCAGAATGTGTGACCAGCCCAAGAGTGGAGGTATCGAGTTTAGGAACCGAGAGTTGGCAGCAACATGTCTGCTCCCATAAGCAGCTTCCTCTAGCTGGGAACCCAGCAACTTGTCTCTACAAGCTAGTATGGCAGAAGCCACAGATTTTCGGATTTCCTTTGCTCAGCTGAGAGCAAGTTCATTCTTGCTCTCTTCCTGGCACTTTGCTGCCCGTGAATTAAAGGGGAAAAGTGAGAGATGTCAACCCGTGGCAGTATGGGCATCTCTTTCTGGCGGTGTGGACACCTGAGAAAAGAACGGCCACAAACCAAACACATGATGTCTTGTCTCTACCAGGTGTGAGCCAGTTCTCTTGCAAAGTTTTGATTTGTTAGATGAGCTGGTGGTGTGAGGAAACAGAATCCTTTTGGCAGAGATGGGGGGGGCTTGGTGGGAAAAGCAACCACAACACCAAGGTGTGAGCCTGAGGTTCACTCTGGACATGTGCTGAAGGCCCTGGTTGGCCTTGTTGCAAATGAGGAGAGCTGGGGAGATCAGGGGGGATCAAAAAGATTAGCTGTTTGCTTCCTTGTGCCCTGTTTGTTATGGAAATGGATGAGGCTTAGCCATGTACGCTTAAGTTTGATGCCTTTGTGAGAATGGTCTCTTTGAGTCTCCCAGGCTTATGTACAGTCTCTCTGGATCTAGTGGAGAAGCTGATGGGTAGATAAGAGGTGTGTGAGGAGTTTGCCCTGCCATTGGGCTCCTTCTTCAGTCTTCAGGGATTTATTGCAGGCACCTCAGTTTTCTCATTAGATTCATTTGTGTTAACATGGACAGGAGGTTTGGTTTCCCACAGGCCTTTGCACAAAAATCCCTTGGAGCATTACGGGCAGAAGCCTTGCCACCAATTCTCTTACCAGCTCAAGCTTGAGTTTCTTGGATTTAATTATGTGGGAGGGTCCTTGTTACCTTAGAGCTGGGTCACCCGCTAGGTTTGGACTCTGAAGGGGTCTTGAAAGAAGGCAGCTTGGGGTCATGATCTGGGGTCGGGATGTGCTGATAATGCTCTGACAAGAACTGAAGGTGCTCAAGTCTAAAAGACCTTCAGTCAGGGTTGGGAAGTATGGGTTCCTTTCTTGGGCTTGTCACCAGCTGGCTGCAGAACCTGGGCGAGCTGCTCCTTTCCTTGGACCTGTGATCTTGCATTCTTTATTTCATTGGGAAGCATAACCCGACAGCGGGTGTGATAAGCTCTTGAGTGAATACAAATGCTATGCAGACCTGATCTGTTATGACCAGACAATCAGGGTTCATTCAGCTGTAGATCAGGCTTATAAAATGCTTATTATCAGCTGCCTGGATTTTTATCTTGACTTGCAACAAAACTGCTCCATCCTTGGATCCTTCACAGAGCGGCTTGACTCTGAGCTGGTTTTATTTTGAGTGATAATGTTTTCAGAGTGGTAGAGCTTTCTGAACTCCTTCACCATAGGGTGGGGACCTTGCTGTGAAGCAGGGATTGTAAGGAGAGATCTTACTTGTGTTTCCACAGCAGAATGCACTTTAGGTAAGTGCCTTTGTAATTGATTAAAACCCTCTTCATCTGAGTCATGTATGGTGGGCTGCAGATTAGGTATGGCACTGCAGATCCTCTGTTCTGTTTCCTGGTGTGGAGTGCTTCATGATTCCGTAATAATTAATTCTGTTTTATTGTTGCACTAGAAATTTATGTGTCTTCCATGTGAGTGACAAGGATTTAGTTAGAGCTGAGTCTGAGGGTGGTGTCCCTCCTTGGCCTTCTTCATTCCCCTCCATGCGGGGGGTCAACCCAGAGACTCTGAAGTCTGTGAAATGCATAGAAGCTGCTGAAATGCAGCTTTGTTACCCCAGCAGCTGAAATCCAGGAGCAGTCATGCTGCAACAGGCCTGTTCTCCTGCGAGAGAACAAGCTGCAGGGTGACACATCAAAAGAGAAGGGCAGCTCCGTGGTGTTCTCTGCGGAGATCAAAAGGAAGTAAGCAGGGCGGCTCCTCTCCTGGCTGGCCCTTGAGTCTGCTCATCTCCTTCTCCCTGTCCCTTTAATCTCAATTACCTCCTAGAAGATCACTGTTTGAAGCGTGTGAGATGGTGGTGGGAAAAGCTTGACTGTGAAGTGGCTAGGGTGAGGGAAGAGATCCTCGCTTGCATGTCGGGGGAAAATTCCCTTACCCTTTGTGAAGAAAGCGTGCAGGAGAGCCCAGGTTTTAAATACAGCCAGCATCTTCATGTCCCGTCAGAGCAGGTGACACAGCATGAACATAAAAGGGCGCAGGGGAGCTGGATGCGAGGTGCCCAATGCGGGCCCTGGTGTCAATCTCCACCTGGAGAGCATCGATCCCCTTCTGCAGCTGAAGTGCCTTGATGGTACCAGGGCAGGAGGTCTCCTCTGTCATGACATCAGGGATTAGACCTCATTGCTGCCGATGCATGGAGGCAAGCGAGTTAGCAGGGCAGTATTTGAAAGTTGTGAGGACTTTTCAGGAATGCGTGTCGTGGCTATTATCCAGGGCTCTTGGAACGCCGGGGACTGATTTGCTGGAGTAACGGCTGCATTCCCTGTCTGGACATTCCTGGCCTGACCAGCGCTGACTCCTGTTGTCCGGGATGGCTAAGTAGGGCAGTTGCTGAATTATTTATTGTCCTCCAGCCCCTAGAGCAGGACCTGCAGTGCATTCCTGACTGACTCAGGTTGAGTTTTAACTCCCCATCTTAACCATTACTTAAGCAGGTGCTGCTGAGTCTTTTCCTCAAAATACCCATGGTTGTCACTCAGGACAAATGCCTGAGAAGAGAACTCCATTTGCTTTGCTCCGGATCATTTCTGAGTCCACTGCAGATCCCCTCTCTGGACAACCTTGTCCTTGGATCGGGGCAGCCACGGTGAACTGTGAAAGCACCTTCTTTGCTTTGCCTCAACCAACCTGTGGGACTTTCCAAAATGGTGTGGCTGCTTCCGTGACATCTTGTACAGCACTCAGGGCAAGCATTGCATTGATGGAAAAGCCAGAAGAGAGCAGAGGTGTTGAAGCTGAGAGCATGGGAATGTGTAATGAAGTATTCAGTCTTGAGTGGAAAAGATACTGTCTGAAAGGCTATGGCTCAGTGAATCCCAGAATCCCAGCATGGCCGGGGTTGGCAGGGCCCTCGGGAGCTCACCCAGTGCCACCCCCCTGCCCAAGCAGGCTCACCCAGAGCAGGGGGCACAGGACAGCGTCCAGGCGGGGGTTGAAGATCTCCAGAGAAGGAGACTCCACAGCCCCCCTGGGCAGCCTGTTCCCTGAAAGGGACCTCCCAGGAGTGGTGAGCCTTGTAGGTGCTTTGGAGAGGAAGGAAAGGAGAGTAAATGTGGATGAGACTTGGGAATCAAAATAGATATTCCTGGGGTACCTCCTGGCCTTTGTATTTATGAGGTCTTTTCTCTTGAGGACTGTACTATCAATGTTGAAAGTAGGAAT